ACAAGCCAGAATTGAATTGTTCAGAAGTACTGGTGATGAAAACAAGAGTCAAGGGAATAAAAAATGCCCTATCACGATGATGGAAAGAATCTGAGTTAATTGAATATATCACTTAATGTGTAATTGCGTTAGATACAGCTGTTTCTTGAAACAATTGAAGTGCCCGAGAATCGCGGTTACATTAAAATTTCATATGAATTGATCACTGATTTACCGCTCGATTAGCGACCGCAGAAACACTCAGTTCCTAACAATGAGTAAATATACAAACGAGCGATTCAATTCTTAATATCGATATGCAATGACTCACATTTCTGATATTCTTAAGAGAAAACAGATCCGTCGGAAGTGTGTTGCACAAACTGATAAGGAAACAAAATTATATAAGTGATTGGTAAATGTACAAAAATTAGAGAAGCTCGATTTTTTCATGCAATTTGGAGGCTTCTTTTAAGGGAAATACCACTGATGTTTTCAGGGAACTCTTTATTTCAGTGGATCAGAAGTACTGATGAATTGTTCGGGTGTTTCATCAAGAAACGGAAGATGGATGAAATGTGATCAGAAAATGATGAAGACATTGTCTATGATTGCTGTGTTGGAGCGTCACTGCTATCGTCCAACGTGACATCCCTACAAATACCCTGAACTGCAATCTGGTTTTCTGGACAACTGCTTTCACATCGTTTCACCGAACGTCCACTCACAACTCGCTGCACTTGTACTTGATTGCTCGGACAGGGCGCTGTAATAGTTTGCATCGTTATGTTACAGTAATGAAACGGAGCAATGTTTTGGGATGCTATCTGCCTGACCCGGTATTCACTTGATTCTTTTTCTCTTCTATAATTTAGCACTTAATCTAAAAAGAAGAAAACCTAGGAGTTATGAAGAGGAATGCTCTAACTTTTAATCCAACGATTTCTAAGCAGATCTCGTTGATAATAAGGATACGACTGATTGGACGTACAGCACTGATAACCACCATCAGTGACACTTTGAACACATTTATAACCAAGTGGACATGTATTAGGACCCTGCACACTGCATTGAACTGGTGTTCGGGTCGATGGAAACAGCAGTGCTTCACCAGATGGACAACCGTTGGCACCTTTAAGAAACGCATTTGAATCATTTAGCAATTTCGTTCCAAAATTTTTCATAACGTTTCTATCAGAAAATTGTGGCATTTGCAGAAATATCAGTTAGAGCAAGGAAGGGGTGATGCTAAAATCTTTGAATGGGAGATACACATCACGGTCGACAGAGTATGGAATGGTATATCCAAAAATATTAGAGGAATTATTCATCGGTACACCACTGCCCCTCTGCGCACTCGAATGTTCAGAAAATTCAGTTAATTTCGATGTTCGATGTCCGATTATAGTCCTTATTGAGTCCTTGTTGAGTTTATTCTGAGCTAAATCTTCATGATAATGGCGAAGTTGCTAGTGCAATCTCCAACACTGTTATTCGCTATACATCAAAGTATCGGATAAAGATGCCTCACATGCGACTACGTTTGATAAGTGTTATCGATGCTTTACAAATTACCCTCAGACCTACGGTCTTCACCATTTTCGCTAACAGTCAATACAATTATTATTCACTGTTCAAAAGAGGTTACAAACTTATCATTGCCGGATATCAATGATCCATTGGGATGACTGCGGACTGCTAAATTTTCGTTCAAATGCGACAAATGCGCATCTAGTACATATGCCTGGCTTTTGTATTGCTCTATTCTCGTTAATCAAGCGATACAACCGAAACTCATGTACCTTGACGCTTTTGAGCACAACAGAAGTAATTTTTGGCTCGATCTGAGAATTTGCATTCGTAGTCGAGTGGACACGTGGTTGTGATGCATTTTTGCGGTTCACCATTGACAATATATGCGGTACCGTTGTCACACACTTCACTATTACGTTGTGCCGTCAGACTGAACTGGCAACTGAATCCACGTGGACAGACTTTTTTCGACGATGAACAGAAACGAATCTGAATAGACAAGAAAATTTCTTCCATCTGAGAGGATATTTTTCACATCATTCGGAACACATAAAATATACTTGACCTCAAAATGCGTTTCATATCACTAAATGTATTTTTTTTAAAGCAACAAAACAAAAAACTTCATAGATCTTATTCTCTCTTTTCTTTTGGTGCATTGAAAGCGTATAGTGATACCGTTGCTTAATGAATATTCGTTAGCGAGGATGTTGAAGATGATTATATCACAATTCAACGAAAAATTACAGAAAAAATAAACTAATACGGAAATTTCTCAGAAACGTCCTGAGTGATATGAAAAAGAATGATAAGAAGAAAAGAATTCGGCTATTTCGGATGTTAAAATAAGGAGGATCGAACAGCGACAATGCAAACCTTTGTTGTTCCTCTTTCAACGTAAGGAATTTGCCCGACGATAGGACATGTATTCACAGGTCGACCAGTTCGTCGAACACATTTCCCGTTGACGAGTTTATGTCCTTTCGAACATTCACAAATACCGCCATGACACGATGAACCCCTCAGACATTGCTTACTCGATTCGCACTCTTCACCCACTCTCGCTCGTTTTAAACAAACATCGTTCACGAGAACTTCATTTGATGAACAAACTAAAAATCAGTATCAAATTGGCTGCATTCAGTTACTTATTAACCACTGCACAGTAATTTACATTTGGCAATTTTGTTACTACTTTTCCACTGATATTGATTCGCTAGTGATATTAAACATGCCAGTTTGTCTGCTTCTGAGGTTAACAGAGCTTCGGTCGTTATGCCCGCTAACCACACCTCTATCGTTTTATTCAGATTTCAATCAGAGCCTCGGCTTAAGTTTGAGCTGTTAGCTACTGGATTCCTCCGTGTGGACTACTCAGAAGCGGTTGACAACGGCGTTAATAAATAGCGCCGCCAATAAACGTCTGGAATTTTCACTTGCGCTCTTGCATGGGAAAGCGATTTATTGAGGCTTGAAAGTATGGGGAATTTTTTTGCAAATTCATTTTTTGCGATAAACAAAATGCACTCCATGAATGAAACTAAAACTACGAGCAAAAATCTCTCACAAAAGTAGAGCATCCATTATTTCTTTTTACAAGCTCACTCTCACGGCAATCCCTTCCAATGGCTTCATTGAATACAAACAAGAAATGTCTTCGGAAGAAACGAATGCATAGGAAATGCTTACGTGATCTGCATACGTTTCATTGACTTTAAATGAGTGATGAAGGGTTTAAATGTGTTGTATGCTAACAGAATTAATGAAATAATCTCGTTGAAAAACGGATACTTATGAAGAGTTTGTTATATGGCTGTTTTACTACCTCGCTGACATACGCCGTCGACAAGTCGCTGTCCAATTGAGCACAAACAAATGCCATCCGTACACGCTGATCCGCCTCCACATTCAATATCTTCCTTACAGTCATCACCAACATTC